ATCGAGTCCCTGGTAAGACGTAAGGCTGGCAATTAAGTCAGTCTAATTCATGAAGAAGGTTAAGGTAGGCACTAAAACTCATATTTTCAATGATTAGCTGATAGTATAAACTAGATAAATCTCTGCTTTTTAGTTGACTTCTGTTTTAGCTGATTGATTGAATCCATCAAACTTATAGATGAAAAGATAAAATTATTCAGCTGATGGGTATGATAGAATATAAATATTAGATAAGCCGATTTATAAAAAAGTTGAGGGAAGAGTAATGAAAAAAATAAAGGAAAAAATTCTACGCGAAGCAGCCTCAGCATGAATCAAAGCAAAACAATATATGCCGTCTAAACGGAGATGAAAGTGTCCTTAAGGAGCCTGATGAGCGAATAATGGCTTGGAGACGAGGTTAGATCATTAAGCTAAGTTTAAAACTAACATTATAAACACAACGAATCGCATTCTGATTCATTAATGCAGTAAAGACCAAGATAAAAACGCGAATAAAAAATAAAAAGAAATAGGGAGATATTAAAACCACTATTCCTTTTAGATTAAAAATGCGCTTTAAGGGAGCAGGCGATTATGATGTGTACAGAATTACATTCGCCGAAAAGGCTACTTAGAAAAAGAGCAAATAAGGAAGCTGAAAAAATCCCAGCTTGTGTCGCCAAGTTAGTTTTTTGCATTATGATACGTTTCGTAAATAAAAAATGGCTCTCACTCAAGATTTACATGCCAGAATAATAAAAGAAACAGTTCATCTCAAAGAGAAACAGTTGAAAACTCAGTTTCAGAGCAAAAAATGAGTAATTATATACAATAGAAAAATATAAAAGATACCGTAAGATATGTGCAATATCGTAATTCAAATCAAGGCAGATTAAAGTGATTTATATATCGTAAAAGAAGTGTTGAGTGTTGCACTTCTAAACTAGCAAGGGGTAAAACAAGGTGGCGAAAAGTATGTCTAGGGAAGAGTTTAAGCCTCTAATATTAACATTTTAAAATATCTTATAGAAAAAGTAGGTAATTCGAAAATACCTGTATGCTTGGTTTATATGCATTTTAATTAAAACAAAAAATCAGTGCACCAAAGGAAGCTTAAGTCCAATAAATATAACGCCGAATAGAAATTAGCAAGCCAAAAAGAGAAATATATGGTAGCTGCAAAATGGGGTAGCTAGTAGCAGAGACGATGGAAGGGCTGTGTGGATCACGTACAAACAAATATAGATCACTGCGCCTCCAAAATCAAGACGAAATAAAATATACACAAAAACGCGAACGAAAAGCCCAAATATTCAGAAAGAGTGAAGGCGGCATGCGCAAGCCTGGAGAAGACTCATGAATATGGAATACCAGTTAGCGAGTGGAAAACTAGGCAATAGGAAAGTATCGACCAAATAAAGTAAATTAAGGTATTATATGTGAATCAGCAAACAAGGACAATAAAAAATTGAATATAATAGAGAATAACTAAAATGTAAATGTGGGGGAAGGATCTTTAGGTTGAACATGAGCAAAGGTAAATAAGCAGGACCACATATAGGGGTGTTTAAAAATATATAAATTAATAAAGACAGGCACACGAGAAGGCACATGAAAAAAGTATTCGAAAAGAATGTATATATAGGCATGTATATAGATAGATATAAAAATAGATCGATGAAGAGAATAGATTAATAGGCACATGAATATGACGGATCGATGAGTTAGTATGGAAACCAGAATGGTTATCATTTAGTGGATGGGTAGAAGAAACGTCAATAAAATGTGTAGAGGTTAAATTGACACCTGTAAGACTAGGATTCAAGTTCTGGTGGTGGAATTTTGTACATATATTGGTCCCTAACACTGTTTTGCAGAGTAGAGGAGGTACCGTTCAACCTTTCTTCCAGAGGCGCTGTGAGCTGTATGGGCCCCTCGAGGCCAGAAACTTTAAGGGTAATCTCCGAGGCTTGATTAAAGTCTGCATAAGTTTCATCAACGCCACCATCTTCACTGGTCATCACAACTCCATCATCTGCATCATCATCGGTTCCTGAAAATTCGAGTTCTAGAGGAGACAAATGGTCCTTTGAAAGTTGTTCTAGTGTGGTGCCATTTGTGGAGCCAAGAGGTTCTTGGTTGGTGTTCATGGTCAACAGAGTGGTTAGGTCGTTGCTTGGAGCAAGAGAGGATTCATCTAGATCGCCCATCATGCCAACCTATTTAGATTAAGGTAGATAAGTAGAATAAGAAAAAGAGCTCCGTTTTGACAAATCTCCCGACGAATCGCTGTAGTTTTATATGAAAAGGAAAGGCGATAAGGAAGGTGATGGAAGACCTGGCAGCTGAGTTTCCCAGAGTGAAGCAAGTATAAAGTCTCAATGTGCAA